AATATAATATAATATAATATAATATAATATAATATAATATAATATAATTAATATAATATAATATAATATAATGATATAGTATAATATAATGATATAGTATAATATAATATAATATACAATAATATAATATAATATAATATAATACAATTATAATAATATTATAATAATATAATATAATATAAAGTAATTTATAAAATAATAATATAATAATAAGCCGTTTTTAACCAGAGTGGATGAATTTCCTCCCTTAGCCCCCCCCCCCCCATTTTCTGGAGTAAAACAACTACTTTCAAAGTAAAGACCACCCATTAATGAAGGATTTGGAAGTATCATATGTATTGCAAAGTTTTGAACTTTTTTCCATTGAAAATCGGAATTGACTTTAGATACGAACCATCAGCGCCCCCTATATCCGAAACGAGTTTAAAACATTTTTTTCATTAATAACCAAGCCTAATAGAGAGAGAGAGACTGAAGGTTCGATAGAGACATAGTGGTATATCAAGATATTCAACAGAAGCCCAAAAAATTACTTTCCTTTGAAAAATATTTATTTTAAAAAATCAGGAGGCAGAATACCCACAGAGATAAATATATTAGAAGTAGAAGTAAGGAATGCAAATATAGTACTAGAATGGGAGGGGGGAAAGGAGGGGTTGGAGAGTTTTCCTTTTGATTAAATTGCTATTACTTAAATATAATTATTATTACTATCTTTCACAAGGCTTTTGATAGGAGAGGAATGGAGGAGAAAACAAAATAAGGATGACTCCCCTGACTCTGTGAGCCAGTGGCGCTCAAAGATTTAAAAATATTTTTAAAGCAAATCAAATAGAAGAAAGAAACTGAGAAGTTAGCAAAGAGATCCCTTTCTCCCCAAAGCCCCCCGTGTACTCTCTGGCACCCAAACCCATCCCCACGCCCTTCTAAGCTCCCAGCCCCTTTAGATAAAAATATAAAGAAATAAAAATAAAGAAAATGAAAAGATGCTAAGCAGCCAAACTAAGGCAAAACAAACAAACAAACAAAAAACAAAACAAAAAACAAAACAAGAAACCAAACCTTTCCCTGCTGGCAACCTCACTGTTTTCTTTGCCTCTGATTGGCACAAACTGGACTCAGAGGCACGTGGAAAGACTCCCTGGGCTGCGTGAACAGCACTAGGCGGCCCAAAAACTAAACAAACAAACACAAAAGAAAGAAATGAGACAAATACCGGACCCATAACTACTATTGACCAGAAAAAGTGGTCATGCCAAATAAGCCATTTGAAGGTAGTAATGAAAGTGTCAAAGGAACTTTCATAAGCATAGCATGCTACAAATAAAATTATAACCCGACGTCATCATATTAAGTATGACTATGGTGGCAAACCTAAGTGTGTCAAAGCTGAGTTAATATTAGTCCAGATGAACCTATGCTGAATGAATGACCTTTTGGTATAGGGATGCTGGAAAGTACTTAAAACTAAATGTGTCATGAACTAATTTTATGTCTGTGTCCCTGGATTGCAGAAGGTTCGCCCTGAATCTAATCTGTAATATTCTAGATAAGGGATCATTTGTTATCAGGATTCTTCACACTGTTTGAAAGGCTAGTGCAAAAGTATGGAATTTATTTGTGCACTGAGTTCCCTGGAATGCAGTCAAACTTTCATGAACCAGAATCT